AATGTTTCTCAGAAAGATATAATTTTGGGCATACCTTTAAATTCAAACAGAAATCATCTCTGCCTTTTAAATTTTCTGATACTTTTTACGAAATTGTATATTATGCGGTGTAAATGGAAACAGGTGCAGCCAAGTATACAGGCATGGAAAAATACTTTGATTTTAACCTTTAATATTGAGTATTCCAAGTCCATACAGAAAGATTCTCTACATGGATTCAAAAGTACAGGTTTCCAATTTTCTTGCATACCTATAAGAAATGTCTCAAATACTGGTTTAAATTACTAAAAATGTCTGATTTGGCTATTTCACTTCATAATAATAACAGGGAATCTTAGGCAACAAAAGTAAAATATCTATTTTCTGTGCATGGGTTCTGGGAGGTATGGCTATGGCAGGGACCACGAGACTTTGATGTATTTTTACACCTATTTATAACCAGAGCATCTAAAACATTTAAACAAGAGTGGTGGGGGTATTGTCTCAAAGGAAAAGCTGCGGACATATCTAAATATCAGAACTGAATTTCACCCAGAAGTATATTTGTATTGTGTAGAAATTGATGAGTTAAAAAGAGTTCTTGCTTGTATCAGGTGCTCTATTCATAGGCTAAAAATAGAACAGGGTAGATTTGTGGGACTGGGGTTAGAATAGAGAATATGTAAAATATGTGAATCTCTTGAAATAGAGGATGAAATGCCCTATGTATGAAAACATTAGAAACTATAAATACATCTGACAAAATAATCACAAAACTAGCAGTGTTTGTACATAAAGCACAATTTCTGAGACAAGAATGTATTAACATGAGGTGACTTTTGACTTTTTGAGATGATACATGCTATGAATTAACTCACGGATTTTATTTTTGCTATTTTACGGGAGATAGGACTAAGGTAATTTTGCGCGACATAAAAATACATGTGAACATTTAAGTAAATAGCCATGAATTTTATGGAGCTCACCGGTTTGTCTGGACGATCATACGAGTACCAGATGTAAACAACTCACAATATACATCTTCGCCAGCCAAGGACCATTTATTCGGCGGATGCCTCAATATTAACCCTTGGCAGATTTCACCACGATCATTAGTACAATGGGGGATAGTATAACAATCCATATAAACTGTATTTTGCGTGCACGCTCAATTATATAAATTTGCTATTATAAAACGAGGCCATGATACGATGTTATAGTTACATTCCTGTAGATTAATCCCAATCCGCCATAACATATAATTAGTAAGCGAACCGTCTTAAAGTTTATCACACAAATGTATTTCTCTGTGTCAGTGTGACTTTTTTTGTTTTTGTTTTTTAATAACATCACATTTCAATTGAAGGAAATAAACGTATGGTAACAGTCAAAGAACGGAAACGATAAAAGTGAATATAATGCGATTACGATTAATAATAATGAATAATTTGGAATTGTACTTGTATTTTATATTTCAACCGAAATAAAAAAACATAACAATGATAAACAAGATAAAAAAACATATTTCTATTTTTTCAACTATCATAGATAAATGTAATTTAAGTAAAGACAGGTCTAATAAAATATTGTGATATATATGCTGAGTGAATTCACAGAGGTCAACGTTGAAAACGTTAAATAAAACATCCTACGAATAATAACATCTTTGTATGAATTTAAATATAATTTATTATTTTAGGAAAACAATTACGATCCTATTGTGACGAAAACAAAGCTATCCTTCGCAGCTTTCTGAATGCTTATGTCAAGGCATGTCATACATTCCCCTATTTCCTCAAATAATTTTAAAGCGTGGTTTGAAACACGGTCACTAGAAGTAACCGTGTTTGAAAGTCTCAACTGATATCGAATGATTACAGAAATAAT